AATTTTTTTATAAACCCCGATATGTGAATGCATACTTCTATGGCCATTTTGTGTGTACGCAATGTTTATAAATGAGACCCCTGATGTATAAATGCTACGTACGCACACAATTGGCATTGAAATGTGTGTGTGCAATTTTCCATGCACATATTGGGATTTATAAAAAACTAACTAGGCGTAAATGTGTGCACTGTACAGACACCAGTGCTTCTCAACTGGTTTGGCCATCTGGGTTGTGCTGTTCTGTTGTAAATAAATCTTAACCAATGATTCCTAATTGCATCTACTTCCGGAAGGCCAAATAAAGTGCTTTTGCTTTCGTACTGAAATGCAGTGTCTCCCCGACATGCTGCATCAACACTACCGCTGTTCCTGAAACCACGCTTCTTTCTTTGCGTGCACATTTGGGCAGCATTATGCTAATATTTCCACATAGTGACGTAGACATGTGGCGGTGTGTTAGAACGAGGCGTTTTAGGTAGACGTGGTTGACTCTTAACTTTTATAAAGAATATCTCTTTGGATTTGAGACTTTAGTCTTTGCAACTTTACAGATCTTCTTTATGCACCAAGAGCTTGTAACACTCCAAAGAGAAAGGAAAACTTGAAATCGCATCATATGACCCCTTTAAATGACCACACTAAAAATTGGCCACATGTCACTTCACTTTCACTAAATGTTTTGTTATTGACGCGATGACAGACAGTTATTTACACAGCAAAAAAATAAAATAAATAAATAAGGCCTATCTCTTTCCATTAAAATATATAAACATCCTAAAATATATGTTTGCCTTATAGGCAAAATTGCATAAATTTGATTTGTGTAAAACAATTTAAAATATTATCTGGCCAGTGGAAAAGAATGAGAACAACTCTGAACACTTTCTCTGAAATGTATTTTCAAGGACACTGAATAGCAATGTAATGTCACAAAAGGCATTTATAGTTTGTATCTCAAATTTTCTTAACGTATTGTTTTTTTAACTGCGTTAAACATGGTGTCATGGATATTGGATGAAATATGCATGGAAATAATAAGCAGGGGTCTCATTTATAAACATTGCGTACACACAAAATGGGCATATTAATTGCGTACGCAATTTTCCACGCACATAACGGGATTTATACAAAATAAACTTGCCCCAAATATGTACGCACCGTACGGACATTCTGGACCATGCGTATGCACTCTTTTTCCTGGAGTGAGAAATTAAACAAAAATTCTATGAATTTAGACATATTTATAGTGGATGCGCTTTATCAATTGTCCTGTGGCATGCTATGTTTTAATGACAGCAAAGAGTGCTATAGGTGCACAATAGTTCATCTTTAAACTAAACTGCAGATTATCAGAAAATATTTTTAGTGAGAACAATGATCAATGACGTGAAGAAAATGGTAAGATTTGCACGTTTCCATTTTAAAATACTTCATCAGTGATGCGCCGAGTCAGACAATTGTATTTACACTGCAATAAATATAGGCTAAAAATAGCTAAAAGATGTTCACCTTATCAACAAAACTGCATAAATTAAATTTGATTTGAATTGTTCAAAACAATTGAAATACTATTTGGCCAGTGGAAAAGAATGAGATCCACTATATTCTAAAATATTTATCTGAGAACTATTTTAAACAGTTTTGTTTTTATTTTGATATATTTATTCTAAATCATAAAAAGGATACTGGATGATTTTTAGCTTAAAAAATTGTGTATGGCACAAATGGCATTTAAAGTCCGCATCTCATATTTCCTTTGACGGTGTTAAACATGGTGTCACGTGGATGGGAATATGCATGGAAATGATATGCAGATGAGGTTATGCACAGTAAAACTAGGCGTTGTAAGCTCCATATATGATGATTTCAGGGAGGAGACGGGGTGGAGATGCACGTGCGCACAATCTTTCCCTGACTGGGATTTATAAAGGGATTTTTGCACAGGTTCTGGCATACGCATGGTTTTATAAATCTGCAAACTTTTGTGCGTATGCAAAATCTAGCTTTTGTGCATACGTACACTTTTAGGATGAAATCTACGGAGAGTTTTATAAATGAGTCACTTTTGCCCAGGACCAGCCAAAAATCTATTTCTGTCTATGCCACTGAGCTATGGCAACTAATTAAGTTAAACTATGGAGACAAACAAGGTACACAGCAGACAGGGGCAGAACACACACAGGAAACATGTAAAGCCACAGCACGCTTTCGGTCTGTTAAAACTTTTCAGGGAGGCAACTTTAACCACTGGTGTCACTGTTGGACAGTGGCACTTTAAATATACATGTTATTTATACAAATTTTTATGTCATTAAATATTTAATGTTATTTAGTAATACTTACGTTGTTTCATGTTTGTGTATTGTGGATTTTTTTTCTCATCCGTTTTTTTGAGGATGCACTTCCTCCCTTCCAGAAAATGGCTGTGATTGATATAGTATGTATATTTATATGAAATAAATAAATAAAATATATACACCACTACTGTCAACACAGAAATGAGAACCTAATATTTTACACAGACTAAGGTGGAGTGATTCACTTTTTAACGGTTATGTAGGCTACTTAAAATGTACTGGCAGCTATTAATCTGAATATCAGATGCTGTGAACATTGCAGACAGAATGGTAATTGTAGACAAACTATTTACACAGGTAGCTGTTGATATACAGTATTACCAACTATACAACCATGTGTTCTGAGGAAAATGAGTAATGCAACGTACCATATCTGAGACGCAAAATGCAGAACTGTTTCTGAGTAATCTTATCTGTTTGGGTCTTAACTGAGTTTGATAAAAAATGCTGTAAAACAATTCCCACGTTTCCAAGGTAAGAGCAGTGCTGAGGTAAGTTGTACGTCACGCGCCATACAGGTACAGTAGCGCTGCTGTGTTTGTTCTATTACTCTCCCACTGGACAAGAGGTGACTTTTTATTCTTGGTGGGAAGTAAAATGTTTAGCTGGAGTATTTGTTTAGATGATGCTGACACCATATTAACTGCTCTTAAATTGAAGTGTTAGATTTAAATCTTCCATTCAAAATATTTCATCTATCCATATTAGCTATCATTAGCATTTTCTGTAAAGCTGCTTTGGAACTATACATCATGAAAAGCACTATACAAACTTGATATGAAACTTTATATGAATTGAACTGAATTTTACTTATTGGTTTGTCTGTATTATTATGCTAAACACTTTATTTAATTTATGTAGAATAATGAATATCTGTATTTTTATTCTGTATACTAATATAAACATTAATTTTACTTAAAATTTGCTTTACTTGCAAACACAGCATGTTCTTCTCATCAATCACTGTGCAAATTTTCATAGTCTGACTGAACATTTATACAGTTATACATTCATACAGAACAGTTATATATATATGATTTTGAGGAAGAAATACATTGTGAAGGATCTCTTGTAATATTTTCATCATGACTAACTAACTAAAAAGTGTGCAACAGACAATTTGAATACATATTACAATATGCATTGCATAACGATACACTTGATATGCAGATCACGGCCCTTATTTATCAAGCTTCTCAAAGTACCATTTGAGTCTTAAGTGCTGAGAATTCATTAAATTTACTCCTACTTTCAAACTTAAATATAAAAACAAGTTATCAAATTTCTTAAAGCTAAGAATCAATCTTACTCTCCCAGTTATTTAAGATGGCTCGAAAGGTCTCTCAAGTGGTTAGGAGTTGCCAGTAGGGGCTTGTGATGGCGCTGAGGAGACAGAGACGTGAGCTAATCTTTCAGGAGAGGAATAATGTTCTTGAAATGTTTGAAGACGAGCAGTTAATAAACAGTTACATTTCCTCAGTTATTCAAACAGAAACGAGCAAAGAATATTTACATTACCAAAGAACATCATAACTGACTTCAGTCAAGCGCGAGCATTATATGCTCTTTTAAAACACTCCCGTTAAAATCAGTGAAGCTACCTACACTGTATCATGAATAAATCTCTTACCCCTTATTTACACAGTGTACAGATACTACAGAAAGTAAACAGACAATGCAATTATGTGTTGACCAGCGGGTGTCGCTGTTGGACAGTGTTATTCCTGCTTCCTGGCTCTCTCTGTCGGCGACGAGGGATTCACATGTGATAAATGCAGGGAAATAGTTAGGCTGACAGAGAAGATTTCAGAATTAGAGACACGCATCCAAACTTTAATTGAAGACAGTAAGAATGTGAGGACTCGGATACGGCTTTGGATGCGACTAGCTCAGGGAGTCCTGTACATTGTTCGGTTCCGGTTACAATGCCTCTTCAGCAGGGTGACTGTGAGGCAGCATAGTCACGGGTCAAAACACCGCTCTTCCGTTCCGATCAAAACATTAAACAGGTTCTCCCCACTCAGTGACGCACCCACTGAGAAACCTGATCAAAGTGCTCTAGTTATTGGAGATTTTATTGTATGGAACGTGAAAATAGAGACACCAGCCACCATAGTCCAATGTTTACCGGGAGCCAGAGCGCCTGACATCTTGGCAAATTTAAAAGTGCTGGCTAATGCTAAACATAAATTCGGTAAGATTGCTATTCACGCTGGCGCTAATGATATTCGACTTCGCCAGTCGGAGATCACTAAAAATAACATTAAAGAGGTGTGTGAACTTGCAAGCACGATGTCAGACACTGACGTCTTTAATTGATTTTTCCGTACATTTCTGCCATATGTACATTAACTGACAGTCACCTCTGATAAGCTACTACTAAATATTGTAGAAACTTATTTTGCTGTAAAGTTGCTTTGCAACGATTTGTATCGTGAAAAGCGCTATACAAATAAACTTGAAGTGAATTGAATTGAAAATATGGCACATAGTCTTATAGTTTGTACTTGACTAACTGGGGCCCAGGTCAGGAAACAGACAGACTGGCTAAACCAACCGTCTGCTAGCCGCCTCACGTCACAGAAATCAGTTAATTCTCAGCACATAGAGACTCTTTCACCTAGATATCACACTATAGAGATTGTGTCTGTTCCCCGAACTAGAAAATACAAAAAACGTCCAAACCAAATTAAGAGTAACAATTTAATTGATGTTCAACAAATAAAAAAAGATGTAATATGGATAAACAAATGATAAAGCTTGGCTTATTGAATATCAGGTCCCTTTCTACGAAAGCACTTTTTGTAAATGATATGATCACTGATCATAACCTAGATGTGCTCTGTTTGACAGCAACCTGGCTAAAACCTGATGATTACATTATTTTAAATGAGTCTACCCCCCAAGATTACTGTTATAAACATGAGCCACGTCCAAAAGGTAAAGGGGGAGGTGTTGCTTCAATTTATAACAATGTTTTCAGTATTTCTCAGAGGGCGCTTTCCCCGTCGTGGTCCTGCTTGCGGAACTAATAGTCGTGTCCATTCTTTATCAAGCCGCTAAGCTCACCACAACGTGTCGCTTAGAAAAAAGACAGACCAGAGAATTCATTGTAACACGTTAATTCGCTCATTTGTCCAGTGACAGTGAAAAACACCCGCTCTCAGAAAAATCTGCGTTCGGCGACGTACCTTGACGGCTCATCTAAGAACAGTTAATCAGCTAATCCTGAACAGAGGTCAACCTAGAATTTAGCTTCCAAAAGATCTTCACGGGGAAGAGAACGAGAATGAGGTAGGGACCGTTATGCAGTGATATATATAGGGAGGCGGGACTCCCGCATCACTATCGTGATTGGTCTGTCAACTGACAGATGTGGTGTAATTGGTGCTTCCAGGATTGGTCACGCCCGAGGCGATTCCCATAGTGAGATACCGAACGAATGTTTAAAAGAGAACTAGTTAATTACAGACCAATCTCGAATCTCCCTTTTCTGTTGTACTGCGGCCAGCCAACCGAGACTTGTCATTTGCACTTATATGTTGTTGCTCTTTTGTTTGTTTTGACTGCTTTTATTGTCCTCATTTGTAAGTCGCTTTGGATAAAAGCGTCTGCTAAATGACTAACTGTAAATGTAAATGTATCTCTCTGTATAGGCCATAATGTTCAAACCCTATTTGCTTATTTTATGTTTCATATATTAGTGCTATTGGATCTTAGCGCTGCAAAGACACTATTGACCACAACATTCTTTTGAATAGACTAGAGTCGAGTCGCAAGTCATCAAATTTGGGACTCGAGTCCGAGTCAAGTCTCGAGTCAAGTGACTCGAGTCCACACCCCTACTTATTACATTATAGTCCTCCATGTCCGCTGTGTTCTCAAAACTCTCGCAATTTGATAATACCTAGAATATAAAAATTAACTGCGCTCCGCAGATCCTTTTCCTATTTAGCGCCTAAACTCTGGAATAACCTACCTATCATTGTTCGGGAGGCAGACACACTCTGTCAGTTTAAATCTAGATTAAAGGCCACCGGGAACACTTCCCATAACACCCGATGTACTTGCTACATCGTTAGAAGAATGGCATTTACGCTAATATTAGTCTGTTTCTCTCTCATTCCGAGGTCACTGCAACCGCAAAAAAATCAGCAACAGCCGATATCTCTGGCTTTCGTCGATACACGATACTATCATCTACCGGCACAACCCTATATTAAAGGTTGTGATGTCTGAGAATATTCTTAAATAAGGAAATCTATTCAGTTATTGGTCCATGTGTATTTCGTCATCCAAAATCCCGTTTGTGGCACAGCAAAGTGTAGTGAATAAACTCTAAGACTGACACTTAAGATTTAGTCCTACACTTCGCTTAAATTACGACTGAGATGCTTGATAACTAACTTTTAAGCGCAGCTTTGAGCCAATATTTTTTTTACACTTAAGTCAATTCTTAGCAGCATTCTTGAGAGTAATTCTCAGAGGCTTGATAAATACGGGCGCTGGTGTCATTTAACATTATGTAGTTAAATTCCAAGGTTACTTAATAATTGCTATTGTCAGTATGTAAACTCATGTGACTTTGCCTCAACAGATGAAATGAATGAAATGAAATTCATTAAAAGGAGTGGCTCACAAGATTCATTTGTTGATGAATTGGAAAACACTAGTTGCTGCTTGTTTGTGGGTGTTTCTCAAATGGAAGGACGCATCCTAGTGAGGATCATCCTTGCTAGGTCAGTCCTTCTGAGGCTTCAAGGCTAGAGTCCTGCTCAGCATTAAACACCAGAATCAGATGCTCTTGTAAGTGCACATGGCTATGTCATAAATGTTCCTGCTTTCGCAGTCATGGCGTGAAAATACTATTAAAATTATAATCTGAAAAATACTTTATTTTAAAATCTTTATATAGATTTGACTGACTTAACTGACTTTTTATTAAAATAATACAGGTAATTACAAACACCTGCATCTCCCAGGGGTTTACATTATGCACAGTTATGTTATTCAGTTGCGACAAAACAAAAGAAAACTGTTATGAATCCGGTCTCTGTCATTCCTCCTGCTCACCACCAGAGGTCTCCATCTCTATATCCTCCCGGACTCCATTTCCCACAATCCCTATTCTAGGAACTAATTACACCTATTTCCCATCAATGGACTATAAAAGCTGCACACAAACACACTCTCATTGTGAAGTCTTGTTTTGCCACTGTGGACACTACGGAGCGTTTTTCCTTGTATATCTTGCCTTGCTTTGCCTTGTCTTGTTCCTGCCTTGCTTTTATTTTTATTTTGGACTGTTCTTCTGGTTTTTGATCATTTGCTGCCTGCCCTGACCATTACCCGTTTTTGTGGTTTACCCTTTTGTCTTGCCCTGGATACTGTTGTTTGCTGGTGTTTGACCCTGCCTATTTTAATGAAGCCTGCATTTGGATCCCCATCTCCGTTGCAATGCTCGTCTGTTACAGAAGACTTCACCACACCCAGACTCAGTGGCTTTATTCAGCAATACAGGCCAATTATGGACCCAGCATTGAGGTTAGTTCACCTTTGTCAGGGAACACTTTCCTCAAGGACCACATCCAGGAGTTTTTGAGCATTTCATATCACTCTGATCTCCTGGACTATGCTGATTTTTTTCTGTTATGGACCGAATGAACCATTAAAAACCAAACTCATCCGCAATGGTCCTCGGGATCGCTCTGTGAGTTTTTGGCTTTTGCCTTTTGTTGATTAGTTCCCCGTTCATCATTGGCTGACACAGAGGCTGTTCCCCTATCCTAAGTGCTCCCTGCAATGGCGGCAGCCATCTTGTGTGTTTGGGCTACACACTGCTCTGTTACTCCTCCAGAGCCCGCTCCAGTCCATGAATCCACTCTGGAGCCCCCTCCAGTCCATGAGTCTGCTCCAGAGCTTGCTCCAGTCAATGAATCCACTCCAAAGCTCACTCGAGCCCCAGAGCTCAGTCCTGTGTTGGTGTCAGCCTGTGAGCTCTCTGCCTGTCCTGTCACGGCCAAGTAGGCCAGCGCTCATTGATTGAACAGTCCATTGGTTTGAACAAGTCCGATGACAGAACTGTAGAACTTCTGCACACAGGTGTCGTGCACAGACAGATAGTAGCCTAATGATAACCCCTTTCGTGCTCTTCTCAATTTTGTGTCAAACAGCATTGTATTTAAAAGATAGAATTTGAAGGAAACTGTAAGATATGCACATTTTCTTTTTAAGTGTTTTGTTATTGACGTGGTGTCAGACAGTTATTTACACAGCAAAAAAAAAAGAAGAAAAAAAAAGAGGCCTATCTCTTTCCATTAAAATATATAAACATCCTAAAATATATGTTTGCCTTATAGGCAAAATTGCATAAATTTGATTTGTGTAAAACAATTTAAAATATTATCTGGCCAGTGGAAAAGAATGAGAACAACTCTGAACACTTTCTCTGAAATGTATTTTCAAGGACACTGAATAGCAATGTAATGTCACAAAAGGCATTTATAGTTCGTATCTCAAATTTTCCTAATGTATTGTTTTTTTTAACTGCGTTAAACATGGTGTCATAGATATTGTATGAAATATGCATGGAAATAATATGCAGGGGTCTCGTTTATAAACGTTGCGTACACACAAAATGGGCATATTAATTGCGCACGCAATTTTCCACGCACACATCGGGATTTATACAAAAACTTGCTGCAAATATGTACGCACTGTACGGACATTCTGGACCATGCGTATGCACTCTTTTTCCTGGAGTGAGAAAAGTAATGAAGTAAACAACGATTTTAGACTCTGTTTTCATTTCGATATACACATTTATATTAAATATTCCACTCTCATTAATGGAGATAAGCACTGAAATTACATAAAGTCATTGCACAGAAATTAAACAAAAATTCTATGAATTTAGACATATTTATAGTGGATGCGCTTGATAAATTTTCCTGTGGCATGCTATGTTTCAATGACAGCGAAGAGTGCTATAGGTGCACAATAATTCATCTTTAAACTAAACTGATCATTGTTCTGTAAAAATATTTTCTCATAGTCTGCAATGCACTTACTTCGATATTATGGCAGACACTCTATATTCGGTTGTCGAATGGTCCATTGTCCGGTTTGAATAGGTCCAATGATAATAACTTTTACTGAACAACCACAGCTGCACGGAGGTGTTGATGTCGTGTTAAGGCATCTCCACAACATTATGAAAAATACCACTGTATTTGAAGGATACAACTTGAAGAAAATGGTAATTTGCATGTTTCTTTTTGTAAAAAGGCTACTTTGTCAGTGACGTGCTGAGCCAGACAATTCTATTTACATTGCAATAAATATAGGCTAAAAATAGCTAAAATATGTTCACCTTATCAGCAAAACTGCATAAATTAAATTTGATTTTAATTGTTTAAAACAATTGAAATACTATTTGGCCAGTGGAAAAGAATGAGATCCACTATATTCTAAAATATTTATCTGAGAACTATTTTAAACAGTTTTGTTTTTATTTTGATATATTTATTCTAAAACATAAAAAGGATACTGGATGATTTTTAGCTTAAAATATTGTGTATGGCACAAATGGCATTTAAAGTCAGTATCTCATATTTCCTTTGACGGTGTTAAACATGGTGTCACGTGGATGGGCATGTGCATGGAAATGATATGCAGATGAGTTTATGCATAGTAAAACTAGACATTGTAAGCTCCATATATGGTGATTTTAACGCTCTTGCTATCTGGGAAGCAACGGGGTAAACGGGGTATTGGTAGCTGTTCAGTTGCTTTGACACAATCTGTATTGTTAAAAGCGCTATATAAATAAAGGTGACTTGACTTGACTTGATTTCAGGGAGGAGACGGGGTGGAGATGCATGTGCGCACAATCTTTCCCTGACTGGGATTTATAAAGGGATTTTTGCACAGGTTCTGGCATACGCATGGTTTTATAAATCTGAAAACTTTTGTGCGTACGCAAAATCTAGCTTTTTTGCATACGTACACTTTTAGGATGAAATCTACAGAGAGTTTTATAAATGAGTGCCCGCTCACTTTTGCCCAGGACCAGCCAAAAATAAAATTCTTTCTACGCCACTGAGTTATGGCAACTAATTAAGTTAAACTATGGAGACAAACAAGGTACACAGCAGACAGGGGCACAACACACACAGGAAACATGTAAAGCCACAGCACGCTTTTGGTCTATTAAAACTTTTCAGGGAGGCAACTTTAACCACTGGTGTCACTGTTGGACAGTGTCACTTTAAATATACCTATATATATACAAATATACATATATGTTATTTATACAAATTTTTATGTCATTAAATATTTAATGTTATTTAGTAATACTTACGTTGTTTCATGTTTGTGTATTGTGGATTTTTTTTCTCATCCGTTTTTTTTTGAGGATGCACTTCCTCCCTTCCAGAAAATGGCTGTGATTGATATAGTATGTATATTTATATGAAATAAAAAAAATAAATATATACACCACAACTGTCAACACAGAAATGACTACCTAATATTTTACACAGACTAAGGTGGAGTGATTCACTTTTTAACGGTTATGTAGGCTACTTAAAATGTACTGGCAGCTATTAATCTGAATATCAGATGCTGTGAACATTGCAGACAGAATGGTAATTGCAGACAAACTATTTACACAGGTAGCTGTTAACATACAGTATTACCAACTATACAACCATGTGTTCTGAGGAAAATGAGTAATGCAACGTTCCATATCTGAGACGCAAAATGCAGAACTGTTTCTGAGTAATCTTATCTGTTTGGGTCTTAACTGAGTTTGATAAAAAATGCTGTAAAACAATTCCCACGTTTCCAAGGTAAGAGCAGTGCTGAGGTAAGTTGTACGTCACGCGCCATACAGGTACAGTAGCGCTGCTGTGTTTGTTCTATTACTCTCCCACTGGACAAGAGGTGACTTTTTATTCTTGGTGGGAAGTAAAATGTTTAGCTGGAGTATTTGTTTAGATGATGCTGACACCATATTAACTGCTCTTAAATTGAAGTGTTAGATTTAAATCTTCCATTCAAAATATTTCATCTATCCATATTAGCTATCATTAGCATTTTCTGTAAAGCTGCTTTGGAACTATGCATCATGAAAAGCACTATACAAACTTGATATGAAACTTTATATGAATTGAACTGAATTTTACTTATTGTTTTGTCTATATTATTATGCTAAACACTTTATAATGAATATCTGTATTTTATTCTGTATACTTATATAAACATTAATTTTACTTAAAATTTGCTTTACTTGCAAACACAGCATGTTCTTCTCATCAATCACTGTGCAAATTTTCATAGTCTGAACATTTATACAGTTATACATTCATACAGAACAGTTATATACTGTATATATATATATGATATTGAGGAAGAAATACATTGTGAAGGATCTTTTGTAATATTTTCATCATGACTAACTAACTAAAAAGTGTGCAACAGACAATTTGAATACATATTACAATATGCATTGCATAACGAGACACTTGATATGCAGACCAGGGCCTTATTTATCAAGCTTCTCAAAGTGCCATTTTAGTCTTAAGTGCTGACAATTCATTAAATTTACTCCTACTTTCAAACTTAAATATAAAAACAAGTTATCAAATTTCTTACAGCTAAGAATCAATCTTACTCCTTTAAGACAGCTCGAGAGGTCTCTCAAATGGTTAGGAGTTGCCAGTAGGGGCTTGTGATGGCGCTGAGGAGACAGAGACGTGAGCT